AGATAGGCATCAAGTGAAGTATACTATAAATTTACTCCCAGAGAAATCTTGGGTTTATGAATTAATCTGTCATCAAACTTATGTAACAATTATATGGAGAAAATTTTTTTCCCACTTTCATTAAGTCATTGAATTTTTTTCCTCATAATATCTCAATGCGAAATAAGATGTTAAGCTATAATATAAAACAAATATATTCCTAACTCCCATTTAAACAATGGCTGGAGGTTATACCTCCAGAGTTCACTATGCAATCAGAAAACATCCTCTGACATTAATCTGGGTAATCTACAGGCCTTTTCTGAGGCAGAGGAGAAAGAGAAAATTGTACAGTGGACCTGAGGTGTGATAAGAACAGCCGTGATGTCTGCCCTAAGATGCTCCCCAAGCCCTTGGATCTACATACTCTAGTATACGACTGACTGACCAAGATCAAAAACTTCAGAAAAAGCGTATCTACCACAAAGTAGAACAAAAACCAACAGATACACCTTTTTTATCAGAGTTGAAAAATTAAGATGTAAACAGGGGTCAGGTTCAAATACATATAAACATATACAAGACATAATACAGTACATACGGATGACAGCAAAATAATACAAATTTGATAAATGTTTAACTGCTAACAATAAGTTTAAATTCCAAGACAAAAAGTTAGCTTCTCACTGAAAAAAAAAAATTACTTTACCAAAACCATGTATATTCTTTTGCACTTGAGAATTATAAAGAAAGGGAATAGCAAGGAGATGGTCCTAATAAAACAGAAACATACGCCACAGTAAGAAGAAAGAAGAAAAGCTATTTAAGCCCCTTAAAAGGACATAGTCAACCCCCCCAGGCCTAAAATGTCCTGTTTGAATTAACATAGTGGTTTAATTAAAAACTAAGTAGAAAATTCTGCTTAATTTGATTTTCAATTCAAGCTCTGCATCCGCCCATGGCCAGTGGCCAATTTCCGCCTCTCGGCACAATATGCAAGGAGCTGTTTTAACCGCAACTGCCCAGGGGAATCCATGGGAGTGTACTGGGGCCATGTGCCATTTAGGGAATACACCAGACTTAGACATAGTAAAACAGCACCAGGAGGGTGGCCACAGGAAAAAAAAAAAAAGAAACTTAACCATATTACAAGTTTGCCATTACTCAAATTATTGTGTTGCATCTGACAATTAGAAATGTTTCTAACCTCTCTTCAACATCACTTCAGAAACCAAATGTGTCAAATGTAACCAATGAGCAAACAGCTTTAAGGGAATATACATAAATATATATACTTGTTAGCCAAGTATGTTAAACATTTTAAGACCAGGGTCAATAATAACATCAAATTCAACAAAGTAGCAAAGTTAATAATTCTAATATAATCTATAGTACTGTGTAAAGAACTAAGTATCTTAAGAAATATTACTTAGAAACTACACAAGTAAATGCCAAGTGATTCTATATTACAGAAAGACATAACATTGAAGGGCTAAAATGTATACTTCATACATTTAGACTTAACTATACAATGCTAATTACCCTTGCAGCTTTGACGTAATTGATTTTGAAACTGAAAAATATGAATATTTTAAAATAACATGCCTTGACTAGCTTAATTTTAAAGCTTTCTGGACATTTCTAGTAGGGTCTAGAATGCACCTCATCTTCAACCAGGTTTGTTTCAAAGTATGCTATCTTTAATGCTCAAACTGAGCATTATGAAATGGTACATGCCATTTCAAAATGGGAAAAGTAATTTGGAATTTTAAAACTGAGATAATAATATGTGAATAATTAAAAGCTGACTGTACTATATTCAATTACTCTGTGAATCCCTTATAACACTGACATTTTCTACAATACAAGTATTAATCAAATGCATTTACAGACTACCTCCAGGCAGAACAGGAAGAGAAAATTTAACAGTAGCCAGCATTTACTGAGTGAAGTCCTGGTCTATGTGCTTTACATGAATAATCACTTCTCATTCAATCATCAAAATACTACAGTAAGGTAAATATCATGATTATATTCATTTTACAGAAAGAAAACTTGAGGTTTCTTTCTGAAGCAACCTGCCCAGACAGTCTGACTCTAAAGCCACACTTTCTCACCTTTGTACCTTCAAACTCTCTTCCCTGGGCCCTTCTCCTCAGCATACCAGTACCATCAGACTCTCCTACTTTAAAAGAATTCTACCTTCAAGCTACAACCCCTTCTCCCTCCTTCCTTTAATGGCATTAAAAACCAAATTCAACACCTGGGCAACAGAGTGAAATCCTGTGTCTAAAAATCAAAATAATTTTTAAATAAAATAATCTATTTAACTAATAGCTAGATTTTTTAAAAAAGTGTAAACTAGGTAGATACCCCTGTTACACCAAATAGGAAAATATATTTAATGCAGCTTTACCAGTTGTTTTTTGTATTTGGGAATATTACAGAGGAGCAGTGTTAGAAAGAGGGAAGAACTTCACATATTTAAAGCAAACACCAACATGTCAATTTGAGCCACATATGCTGTAACATCCTGTTTAACAGAGCTAGGTGCACGGCTGACTCAGTGCGGCGACACAGCTGCAAAGCAGTGTTTCTCATTACGTGGAGTAAGTACTCCTTTCCTTATGACATGTGTAGAAACTCTACGACATGTTTATCTCTAAATATACTTAAATGAAATGGTAGATGCAAAAATTCTTTTCAGAAAATCCTTTGCCAGCTCCCTGTTGTCTACAGCATGCAATACAAACTCGTTGGCAGAGAGGACTCCAGGCCTCCTGCGTTTGACCCTGATGAGCCACGTCTCACCATTTTCCACTATACTCCTAAGTACCAGCCATCCCTCAATTCTGCCAGAACTCCAGGCCTGTGCCCAAGCCCGGAATGCCACACTCTCACAAAGCCCTGCTCATCCTTCAAGTCCTAGCCCAAGTCTAGGCTGATTTCCCCTTGCGACACCTGCCCAATTCCCAGGCAAATCAAGACATCCATTCCCTTCAGTGTTTCCCACAGCACTTCATTACATAAAAGTTCATCAAAATGCATCTTATTAGTTTGCATCTCTCATTGCTCCGTCTGTCCTTTGAAAGTAGGAGCCCCATCTTTTCATCTGTGTCCTCAGTGAGCTCCTATAATAGCATAATATTAATAACTATCACCAGGAATTACTTAATAATACTCTGTTGAATGAATGACTATCCATCAAAAGTTTTGACTCCAAAATTCTACAGAAATCGCCTTCTCAAGAGTCTCCCAATGACTTCCTTTCTTCTCACTGTTCGTTCTTGCCAGTCCCTCTTTAACTCTGAATATTTCATATTCCATTCTCCTAAAAATTCTCCATCCTTTGGCTTCCAGGAGATCGCTTTCCTTTTTCTTATTTTCACACTACCTGACAACACCTGCTCACAATCCTTCCTTGCTCCTTTCCTGTGTCAGTGTCCCATGGCCCCCTTATTTTCCCCCTCCTCATTTTACCCCCCCAAGCCATCTCATTTTCCTTGCTGGCTTCAGCTGGGCTTTCCATGATGTTGATATGTGAAGGATACCAACACTTTGGAAGGTCAGAAGCAACTCTGGGTTTCGGTTCTAGTTCTGCTATTTTACATGTGTGGTTCTTAGACAATTTAATACCACTAAATATCGTTGGACCTTAGTTTTCTCCTTATAAAAGGACAGTTTAAACTAAATCCCTTTCAGCAATAGTACTTTCTACAATTTCTTCAAGAAATTATAAATAGTCAAATAGCTCCTTAAACTGAAACTATATAATTCTTTCACATTATATAGATGACTTAATTTTAATTGCCAGTCTTAACAATACATCATGATAAAAAGCAATTCTGACAAATAAAAGCCAGTTTTCTCAATGTCAGGTTTGACTGCCAAATACAATCACTCATTCTGACGCTGGTACACTTACTAACTATGAAACCAGCTGTTAGTGTTTAGCTGTAGTCTGCTGCTGTACAGAAAAACAGCTAGAAAATAGAAAAGTGAGCCCA